GCCAATCTTTTCATTTTATAAATAAGGAAACTGAGGCCCAGAGAAGAGTTGCTTCACATGACGGTAACTAGTAGTTTAGCTAAAACCTAGAACACTTCTGTCCTCTTCCAGTTTTTTCATGTCAATAATCTTTCAATCTTAACAGTGCAGAATACAGACAAGTGACAGGTGTCCACAATATATAATTAGTATGTGACATTTTGATAGCATCCTATAGAATTTCACCCTATTTTGAAATTCTAAGGAAAATTACTTACCTGGCCTGTATACAATCTACAGTTCCTTTGTAACTATCAATATAGGTATTACATAAAATTCCATCTCCAACAGCTCTAGCAATAAATTGGCCAACCAACTATAAGAAAGAAAGAGAGCTTTATAAAAAAAATCTAAAACAAACCTTTAATAGGATACAATTTCTAAACACATAAATGAGGAAGACTGGCTGAATTACACAGTCCATACCTAGAAGATGATGCTGGAATATTGAAAATGCCTTCTTGGCACCTGTGAATTATGCTTGGCATGCGCTCCCACATCTTGAACCTGCACAGCTAAGTGGGGGCCACGTGTGTCTTGCTCACTACTGAATCCCCAAAGCCTTGCGCACTGCCCGAGACTTACTACCTGATCAAAATCATCTATTAAGTGAACGGCTTAACATCAAGAGAAACTTCTTTTCTAAAAAAGAAAACAACACCCACACTAGGTTTTCTCAACTAGTTAAAAGAATTTATCTTATGGAGAAAAGTTGTGTAGAAATATTTATTTGAAAATATATTCATAACATTAGTTATGATAAAAATTGAAAACTTCAATGTCCAACAATAAAGTTAGGTTAAATAGTACATACATGATACAGGACATGTACAGAATTATATTTACCGTACTTTATGGTGTGAAAAAATCAATTTTACAAAATAGCATATGTCATATGACTCCATTTTTAATTGAAACCATCAGCCATATTGACATATAACCAAAAATAGAGTGGAAAACTTAACGTCAAAATCTTAACAGTGGTTATTTTTGCTGGCCTGTCTTCCTTTTTGGATTTTTTGCACAATCACTGGTACAAAGAGGAAGAAAGATCCACTTCTGAGTACGACCCAATACCTGAGACAGACTTCCATCGGTCACAGGAAAGCATCACAGAAACAGCACTGGGAATAACCTACCAATTTCTAAAGTAATATTTTTTAGACTTCAATAATTATACTGCAATTTCATGCTTTTCAAAATTACAAAAACGAACAGTAGTACTTAATGACTTTTAAAGTAAGCATTAGTTAACCAAACCATAACCTGAATTTTTAGAATACTGTACTAGCTAATAAAGTTTACAGACACTATTCAGCAAAAAATATTAAATATATACACTTAAAACCTAAACACTATATGCCGTATGTGAGGAAGTAGGATATAAAATTGAATTTATAGTCTCATTAAGGTCTGTTTAAAAAAAGCAAAACAGCTAGGACAAATGCACCAAAATGGGAGGGAGCTGCTTTTGCTTGGTAAGACATGTGCCCTATTTCCTGTCCATCTACTACACTTCACTCGGAGGCTGTACAGTGGGACAGTTTTCAGTGGAAAGGGAGGGTAATGATCCAAAAGAAGGTGATACAGACCTGTGGTGCTCTAGGGGTATCCAATGCTAATTCAGGGAGGTCTTGCAACAACTTGTCAAAGGACTTCTCCACATCATTTGTGCTCATTACTGTCCCACAGAGGTCAGAAAGCAGCTTCGATGTCATTTCTCTGTGACTAGCCTTTCCCTCCAATGCTAAGGACACTGCCAACACTGGCACTCCACTTTTCATTTCACCAAGATTTAAATCTTTTAGCATTTCCTATCCAAAAGAATAAGATTTTTTAGCTTAAGGAGTATGTCACTTCCTAAAGTTCAATACAATTTTATTTTTGGAAAATCAAGTTTTTACCTATATATCCTTACCTCTCCCTCTTTAGAAATAATCAGCTGAGCAGTCATACTTAGTGGACTAGGATAAATAATGCTGATTTGTCAAGCTTTACCTGAACATCACTAAATTCAAGAATGTGAATTACACTGAGAACAGTTTACTGAACTGTATAATATTACTAAGTTTGGTGCTAGTTAACTAACCCTCTGCTTGACAATCTATTATTTCTAAGAATACTGTATGATGAGCATTTGTGGAATAATTCATTGTACATTATCTTAACCTATTTATGTTTTTTTTTGGTACTGGGGATCAAACTCGGGTCCCTGCACTTACGCAGCAGGCGGCAAACCCACTGAGCTAAATCCCCGGCACTATAACCTATTTATGTATTTTACTGTTTGAATACTCTGCCATTCATATACTCCAGTCCTTGTCTTGAAACAAACATTTGTAATTTCATGTTAAGTTTAAAATGAGATCTTATAGCAAAAACATTAAAAATAGCACAGATACTATTTAAATGAAGGATGTGTATCTACAAATGGAGTATTATGCAGCCATGAAAACGATATAACTCTTTTATATTCTGATATATTTCCAAGATATATTGTTATACTTTTTAAAAGGTGTGAAACAGTATACATAAAATGAAACAATTTGTGCTAAAAAAAAAAATGAGGTCTTGAACCATTGTTTTTAAGTGGGATTCATGATTTAAATACTGGGATAAAGTCAAATATTCCTATTAAAAATACAGCAGCAGGTCTTCTCCTGCTCCCTGCGCACCAGAAACATTGCGGCGGGCAGGGAGTGAGCCGCCCGCACCCTCAGATGGAGAGAATGGCATACAGAGAAACTGACTTGTCAGAGGTCCGAGCAAAGTATTGGTGGATCCAGGGATAAAGCCCAAACGTCTAAATTCTTTGACCAGTTTTTTAGTCCACTGACTACACAGCCTAGTGCGATAGACTGGAATGACATTAAAAAACAAAATATGGTCCCCAATCAGAGTGTGCAACCCAGTATCAAGAAACTACTGACATCCTGGAGCTTGGCACATTCTAACTTTCAGGACCATATGGAATATGTTTAACCTGTTTTTACTCAATGGCCTCGGGTTCTTAGAAAATAGCGAGCCCGCTGCAGACAGGCAGGTCTGTGCACGCCCTA